GCCACATGTTGAAAATCACCCGCCCCCCATCTGTGAAACTGTTGCCAGTCTTTAAGCCTCAGGCTCATACATTGTAAGGAAACTTCAGGCGAAACGCCTGGCCCGCCCTTCCGACTGGCCTCGGGGTGCACTAGGGAGAAGATATTCCTAAGGAAAAGGAATGGAGGAGGAGGAGGAGGAATTTGGAGGAGGAGGAGGAGGAGGAGGAGATCAGGAGGAGGAGGAAGAGAAGGAGGAGGAGGCGGGAAGAGGAGGAGGAGGAGGAAGTAGAGGAGTAGAGGAAAAGGAAGAGGAGGAGGCGGGAGAGGAAGCGGGAGGAGGAGGAGCAGGAAGTGGAGGAGAGTAGATGGAGAAAGAGGAAGAGGAGAAGGAGGAAGTGGAGGAGGGAAGGAAGAGGACGAGGAGGATGAGGACGAGGAGGATGAGAAAAAAGAGAGAGGGAGGGAGGGTGGTCATGGCAAAGCCCCTCTCGGTAACAGCCCACCGTGCGTCCTGAGCCCAGCACCACCTCCCACCATCAGCATCATCAACATAATGATAATCACCATCATCATCAGCAGCAACAGCAGCATCATCGATATCGTCATGATCATCATCGTCACCATCATCATCATCATCATCATCATCAGCAGCAGCAGCAGCAGCTGCTGCATCATCATCCTCCACATGATCATCATCATAGTCGTCATCATCAGAATTATCATCACTACGATCATCCTCATCATTATTATTACCATCATCATCCGCATCATCATGTTCATCATTACCACCATCAGCATCGGCAGCAGCAGCATCCTCATCAGCATCATCAGCATCACCACCATCACCATCACCAGCATCATCGTCGTCGTCGTTGTCGTCGCCGTCGTCATCGCCATCGACATCGACATGGCCATGATCATCATCATCAGAAGAAGAAGAAGAAGCATCAGCATCAGCATCAGCATCAGCATCAACAGAATTGCCATGATAGTCATCATCATCGTCATCATCAGCATCATCATCAGCAACAGCATCATCGTCATCGTCGTCGCCGTCATCGTCATCATCATCATCGTCGTCGTCATCGTCATCGTCATCGTCGTCATCACCATCAGCAGCAACAGCCAGCATCAGCATCATGCTCGTCATCATCAGCATCATCACCATTAGCGGCAGCAGCAGCATCATCTTCATCGTCATCGTCATCATCATCACCATTACGTACAATAATCATCCTCCTTCGGTGGCAACTCATAGGGGCGTCCCATACCACCGGGTCGGGTCTTGCGAATCAACGCTGGTCAACGCTAAATCGACGATAACCGACGCTAACCGACGCTAATCGACGCTAACCGACGCTAAACCGGCGCTATCCCATCGGCTCCCAGACGCTCGTCGACGCTAAAAAAAGTAATTAAGAGGTTACACCAGGCTCCCATCATTTGCTACCGAATCCTCCTCGTCATCCTCATCATCAGCATCATCATCATCATCATCATCATCATCATCATCATCATCATCATCATCATGATCAGAAGCATCATCATCATCATCATCAGAATCAGCATCTGCATCATCATTACCATCAACAAAATCATCATCACCACAATCATCATCAGCGTCATCACCAGCAGACGAATACACATGATCATAACCCTCATCATCATCACAATCATAAGCATGAGCATCAACATCAGCATCATCAGAATCACCAGCCTCATCATCACCAGCAGCAACAGCATCAGAAACAGCATCAGCATCATCATCACCAGCATCGCCATCATCATCATCAGCATCATCACCACCACCATCATCATCGTCAGCATCACAATCAACCTCAACAGCAGTATCATCGCCGTCGCCGTCATCGTCATCGTCATCGTCATCGTCGTACTCATCATGAGCAGCAACAGCCAGCATCAGCATTATCCTCGTCAAAATCAGCATCATCAACATTAGCAGCAGCAGCAGCATTGTCCTCATCGTCACCGCCATCGGCATCACCATTATGTACAATCATCATCCTCCTCGTCGCCCTCATTACCATCAAGATCAGAAGCATCACCATCACCATCATCATCATAATCAGCATCATCACCATCATCATCATCAGCATCATCATCATCATCACAACCATCATCATCATCATCATCATCATCATCATCATCACCAGCATCATCATTGTCGTCGTGGTCAGCAGCAGCAGCAGTCACCGCATCCGCATCACAAGCGTCATAAGCATCATCATCAGCATGTGCATCATCATCAGCATCATCATTATCATTATCATAAGCATCATCACCCGAAAAAATATCATCATCGCCGACTTCGTCATCAACATCGTCTTCATCATCCTCATCATCAGCATCATCATCATCAACAGTCATCATTAGCAGCCTCAGCATCATCGACAACATCAGAATCACCATCATCAGCAGCATCATCAGCATCATCATCACCACCATCATCATAATCATCATGACTATCATCAGTATCCTCATACTGATACTCATCCCCATGCTGGTCCTGATCATCATCCTACCCATCATCATCATCATCATCATCATCATCATCATCATCATCATCATCATCATGATCATCACCATCATCATCATCAGCATCATCATCATCCTCTGCATCACCATTATCATCATTATCCTCCTTCTCCTCCTCGTCATCAGCATCATCACCACCACCACCACTTCCACCAACACCACCACTTCAACCACCACCATCATCATCAGCAGCAGCATCACCATCATCATCATCATAACCGCCAGCATCATCATAAGCAGCATCATCATAAGCAGCGTCATCATCAGCATCATCAGCATCATCATCATGGTCATCATCATCAGCAGCATCAACATCATCATCATCGCCACCACCACCTTCATCATCATCATCATCATCATCATCATGATCATCATGATCATCATCATCATCATCATCATCATCATCATCATCATCATCATCATCATCATCATCATCATCATCATCATCATCATCATCATCATCATCATCATCATCATCATCATCATCATCATCATTATCGGATCTGGCGTGGGCTCCTTGGAGCCAACGCCGGCTCCGATCGGCGCCGCGTGCGCGCCTGGCGCAGCCCCAGGGCACCGCGAACATCCTGCCGCCAAGCTCGCGCGGGAGCTGCACGATGACCTTTCATCGCAGGGCGGGAGGGGGGGATAAGGGGGGGAGGAAAGTGAAAAGCCATAGAAGTACCTATCCTTTGGGAGCGGGCCTAAGTCAGGAGGGCCACAAACATTCGGGACAGAGAGTCTTGTTGCCGATGTGTATCCATCGACGCCACCCGGCTGATTCTAGGGATAGCCCTAGAAGCCGGGAACCTCGCTTCGGTTACAAACTCGCTGTGTGACTCGGGGCAGTGACAAGACCGTGCGCTACGAGGAGGAGGAGGAGGAGGAGGAGGAGGAGGAGGAGGAGGAGGAGGAGGAGGAGGAGGGAGGAGGAGGAGGGAGGAGGAAGGCCCGCCGGGCCCCCGCGGCGCTTGCCTGGACCCCGGCCACTCGCCACGCCACGCCACCGAGCCCGGGGAGGCTCTGGCGTTGCCCCCGTGGGCTGCCGCTGGCGGGCGCTGACGCCGTGGGTGCGCTCGTGGCCGGCGGCCCGCCGGAGAGGAGAAAGGGGGAGGGGGAGGCGTGCCGCTCACAGGGGGGGAGGAGGAGGAGGAGGAGGAGGAGGAGGAGGAGGAGGAGGAGGAGGAGGAGGAGGAGGAGGAGGAGGAGGAGGAGGAGGAGGACGACGACGACGAGGAGGAGGAGGAGGAGGAAGAGGAGGAGGACCAGTACAAACCCAAGAGTCACCAACGATGTTGGAATACACCCTCCCTCCAAGCTCCCTCTTCACTCCCCCCCACACAACGGTTTATCTCGACTCTGGGACCTGTCTCGTTGGAAGACAACCGTCTGGAGACCCGGAAGCATGCCGAAACATTGTTCTCGGGATTCCAACGCCACGGTTCAATATGCCTGTTGCGTCTATCTATCCTGAATCGCGCCAGAACACCATTTCTGGGACTTCAACACCGCGAATCAGCGGAACTGTTACACCCTCATAAATCCTGAACCCTTCCAAAACACCATGTCTGGTACGCTGATCATGGACATCCGTACAATTCTCGTAAATTTCAGAAACCAGTGTGCGCGGCGCTAAGGCGAGAGCCACATGTTGAAAACGACCCGCCCTCAATCCGTGAAGCCCTTGCAACTGTTTAAAACGAATGTGCGCGGCGCTTAGGCGAGAGCCACATTTTGAAAACGACCCGCCCTCAATATGTGAAACCCTTGCAACTGTTTAGAACGAATACGCGCGGCGCTTAAGCGAGACCCACATTTTGAAAACGGCCCGCCCTCCATCTTGGAAACTGTTACCAATGTTTGAGCTTCAGGGTCTCAAATGGTGAGGAAGTCTCAAGCGAAACGCCTGGCCCGCCCTGAACTAAGGAAAAGGAATGGAGGAGGAGGAGGAGGAGAAGCAGGGAGGAGGAGGAGGAGGAGGAGGATAGAGGAGGAGGAGGAGGATAAAGGAGGAGGAGGAGGAGGATAGAGTAGGAGGAGGAGGAGGAGGAGGAGGAGGAGGAGGAGGAGGAGGAGGCGGGGGAGCAAGAGGAGGATAGAGGATCAGGATAGAGGAGGAGGATAGAGGAGGAGGATAGAGGAGGAGGATAGAGGAGGGGGATATGAGGAGGTGGATAGATGAGGCAAGAGCAGGGAAGCGGAGGAGCAGCAGAGAGGCCCCGCCTAAGAAGGGGAGGTCCGGAGGCCTCGGGGGGCCTGAGGACGGCAGCGTGGGCCCCGATGCAGTCAGGCGCCGCCGTAGCCACCAGGGGGGATGAGGAGGAGGAGGAAGAGGAGGAGGAAGGAGAAAGGAGCAGGAGGAAGGAGGAGGAGGATAGAGGAGGAGGATCGAGGAGGAGGATCGAGGAGGAAGAGGAGGAGAGGGAGGAGGAGGCGGAGGCGCGTTGCTCAGAGGGCCAGGGTGGCAAGAGCAGGGAGGCGGAGGAGCAGCAGGGAGGGCAAGGGCCCCCCGGGGGGAGCGGCCCGGGGCGCTGCGCACGAGGAGCCGACCCGGTGTGCCCGAGCGCTGCGCGGCGGGCACGGGTGCGGCGGGGCAGCGCGAGCGAGCTGCCGAGGCCAAGAAGGCAGCTGGGCGAGGCAGCAGCGCGTCCGCACGTGGAGCGCACGGGGGCCCTGCGGCGGGGGCCCTGGGCGGCGGGGGGCGAAAACAGAGGGGCAAGAAAGATGCATGGGGGGTAAGCTACTGGAGGCCCGCGTGGACTTGCTGGGTCAGCTCTTGAGCACGAAGAGGGATAGCGAGAGAGAGAGAGACAAAAAAACAGACAGAGAGGGAAAGACAAGAGAGAAAGAGGGGGTGGAGAGAGGGGGAAAGAGGGTCACAGATGGAGATAGAGGAAAAGAGAGATAGGATAGAGAAAGAGAAAAAAAGAGCGGGTGAGAGGAGGTGAAGGGGGGAGGGAGGGAGAAAGAGAGGGGGAGATAGAGAGAGAGGGCAATAGCTAGTGATGTCACTGCCTGCAACATATCATAAGCTTCTCGTGTAACTGTCGTGCCATCCTCCTCTGCCCCATACCACTATTATCATATCCCTCCTCCTCCTCATCATCATCCTCCTCGTCATCGTCATCTTCAGCAGCACAATACTCCGCATCATAAGCGTCATAAGCATCCGCAGCAGCAGCAGCAGCATCAGCATCAGCATCAGCATCAGCAGCACCACCAGCAGCAGCATCATGACAATCATCATGATCATCACCATCAGCATCATCAACGTCAGCCTCATCATCTGCATCAGCATCATCAGCAACAGCATCATCATCACTATCAGCATCATCACTATCATCCTCAACATCATCAGCATCATCATCAGCACCATCATCATGATCATCACCATCATCGTCACATCATCACCATCACCACCCTCATCATCATCATCATCAGCAGCAGCAGCAGCAGCAGAATCAGTATCACCATCATCATCAGCAGCAGCATCATCATTGTCATCATCAGCATCATCATCATCATCGTCACCAGCACCATCATCATCACCATCATCATCATCAGCATCATCATCATCATCGTCACCCTCACCCTCATCCTCATCCTCATTACCACCATCACCCTCATCATTACCATCATCATCACCATCATCAACATCATCGTCAGCTTCCTCAAAATCAGCAGCATCATCCGCAAAACCATCAGCAGCAGCATCATCACAATCATCATCATCATCATCATCATCATCATCATCATCATCATCATCATCATCATCATCATCATCATCATCCTCATCATCAACAACATCATCAGCATCGTCAGCATCCTCATCATCATCAGCAGCCGCATAATCAACATTACCATCATCATCATCAGCAGCAGCAGTATCATCATTATTTATCCGCAGCCGCAGCATCATCACCCTCGTCATCATCATCACCATCACCATCATCATCACCCTCATCCTCATCCTCATCCTCATCCTCATCACCACCATCACCCTCATTGTCATCAGCAGCATCATCATTATCACCATCAGCCTCATCATCATCACCATCGCCATCATCGCCATCATCAACATCATCGTCAGCTTCACCATCAGCAGCAGCATCGTCAGCGTCATGACCAGCATCATCAACAACATCATCGTCATCATCATCATCATCATCATCATCAGCATCATCATGAGCAGCAGCAGGTTCACCATCGTACCATGCTCTGCTCAGCTCATCCTCCGCATCCTCCCGCACGCCTTCTCGCCGCAGAGTTTCAGCACGTTCGCCGCCTGGCCGTTCAGGTGCCGGCCGCTGCACAAATCCAGAAGCTGCACGGGGGCTCCGACCTCCGCCGGGAGAGCATGGCGGGCGGGGACAGACGAGAGGGAGGGGTAGGAAGGAGGAGGAAGGAGGAGGGAGGAGGAGGGAGGAGGAGGGAGGAGGAGGGAGGAGGAGGGAGGAGGAGGAGGAGGGAGGAGGGGGAGGAGGGAGGGAGGAGGAGGGAGGAGGGACCAGAGTGAACCAAAGATGCACCAACGATGCTGCAACACACCCTCCCGTCCTGAGTCCCCTCCTCACAAGTCCCTGCAAGCCTTCCTTTTCACTACAAGAAGCGCCCCCTCGAGAGACCAGCGCCCTGTGGGCCGCCGTCTGAAAGGAACTAAGCGCCTTGCATCCGTCCAGCGAGTATGAAGGAACACGCAAGGGCATGCATGACCTTACGGATCGAAGAGATGCCAGCGAGACCCCCGTTTCGACCAAGGACCGGCCGCATCTGTGCAACTCTTGCACCAGCTGTTCGACCTCATGGCCATGCGCGTCAAAAAAATCGCAAGCGAAAGCCCAATTGCTTGAATGAAGGGCCGCCTCGCTCCGCGCAGCTGTGCCATCCATCCCAGTCCCTGGCCTCTTAACTCAAAAAGGGGCTCAGACGAACGCCCGATGCATATGTTCAAGCTTCTGTTCTA